AAAAGAAAAAATGTAATATTAACATAAACTCCTATAGGGCTTCCCTGGTGGCACAGTGGTTGAGAATCTGCCTGCCAACGCAGGGGACACGGGTTCGAGCCCTGGTCTGGGAAGATCCCACATGGTACGGAGCAACTAGGCCCGTGAGCCACAACTGCTGAGCCTGCGCGTCTGGACCCTGCGCTCCGCAACAAGAGAGGCCGCAATAATGAGAGGCCTGCGCACTGCGATGAAGAGTGGCCCCTGCTTGCCACAACTAGAGAAAGCCCTCGCACAGAAATGAAGACCCAATACAGCAAAAATAAATTAATTAATTAATAAAAAACTCCTACCCTCAACATCTTCAAAAAAAAAAAAAAAAAACTCCTACAAATGGAATAACAATCTGGTTTTCAACTAAGACACTGGTGGTGCTCCCCTCCCTCAAAGTGTTGCTTTTATTACATTGCAGTACCACCAAGTGGCAGAAGGATACACTGCAACTCTAGCACTGCTAGTTGAATACTTCATCACTCAAAAATGGCAACTACTATGGATTGAACCCTCCAAAATTCTTATGTTGAAGGCCTAACCCCCAATATGACTGTATTTGGAGATAGGGCCTCTGAGGAGGTGTTACAGGTTAAATGAAGTCATACGGGTGGGGCTCTAATCCAATAGGGCTAGTGCCCTTATGAAAAAGAGGAGATGCTAGCACACTAGCTCTCGGGGCACTCACACAGGCACCTGGCAAAGGTCACATGCGCACGCAGAGAAAAGGCAGCCAACTGCAAGCCAGGATCAGCGTCCTCACTGAGAAGTCAATCAGCAGGCAGCTTGATCTTAGACTTCCCAGCCTCCAGAGCAGTAGAAAATAAATTTCTATTGTTTAAGCCACCCAGTCTGTGGTATTTTGTTATGGCAGCCTGAGTGGGCTAATACAGCAATGCTCCACCTTAATCCCAAAACTTTTCTCTTTATGAAAAAAGTATTCACTTAAAAATCAGGAATAAAAGTCAAAAGATTTGCCTTTAAAACTTCTAGCCTCAAAATTTACAGAAATTAAAGTTAAATCTTTTTTGACAAGTTCCTTTATCAGCTAAAAGAGACTATTATTTAGATCAGAAAGGTTAGAAGTTAGGATTAATTCTTATTATCAAAGGGAACATTTTTTTCCCTGAAATTAAAGGACTGTGGTTCCCAAGTATGCTTGTGCTTTCCTCAGAGCAAGATAAAAACTCTAAAACAGGGGGAAAAAATTCATATTGATCCAACAGAAAGGTAAATGTTATTAGGAAATAGATAGAGGTACTTAAAAATCACAAATTCATTCTGTTTTCATCTGTGTGTGTTTAGAAATTCTCACCCATTTATAAATATTCCTTAACTGCCTATATAGCAGTCAAGAACATCAACTCCAGAACCCAAATACCCAAATATCTCTGTTTTGCTGCTTACTGTAAGACCTTGAGCATGTTACTAAACTGCTCTGTTTCAGTTACCCCCACCTGTAAAATGGAGATAACAATTTCCCATAATGGTTGTATCTTTCCCCACAGGATTCTCTTTAGATCCTACAATCCACACTCCATTTTCCCACTTCCCATCGCCCCAAGAATAAATTTTATTTACTTTCTTACAAATTACAATGATCCACAGTCATTACTGAAATCAGTACCACATAGATAGGACAACTTTTTATCTTAGTATCCCAGAGCAGAGAACAAACAAGATAAACTGAAGTGAAAACTGTCTCAGTTCACAGGTTAACCCTGAATATCCTATTTCTGCATCATCCTGACTCTTTATAATACACTGCATAAAACTCATCAGAGGGAGGTTTCCAGCACTCCTGGGTCTAGGGTCATTCTTCAGTTCTTCCAAGGTTAGGTATTTGATTCCTCCAAGAAGATCCAATTACAGAGACAGCTCATTTCACACAATTTAGCCTAAATTTCTGTTATTCCAGTTATTATCTTTTCTGGACCTGGACAACTATCTCACTACTGTAGGACTAGTCTAACTCCATGTTTAAGATCTACAGATCAATTCCTCTAAGTAGGATGCTATGGTTCCCATTTTGTCCTTCCTTATAAGCAAGATGACTACAAAAATTGAAGGTATAAAAAGGGAAGACTTTACAAGTACTCTGTTTCATCTCCTGCCATCTACAGAAAAGAAAGGAAAAGCTCTTAGAGGATGTGGCAATTCCTCACCTGCTTCCTAAATAGCTTTCAATTTAAAGGGTGGGCATAAACCTTCGCCTACTTGTACAGAAAAAGCTTTGTCTATATGCTGTTGCAAATACTTGCTTAGATAAGTTGTTCCATACTCAATTTAAAATGCAGCATTTTCAATCATTTTTAAAATCTTACTCCAGGGCTTCCCTGGTGGCGCAGTGGTAAAGAATCCGCCTTCCAATGCAGGGTACACAGGTTCAATCCCTGGTTGGGGAACTAAGATCCCACATGCCACAACCACTGAGCCCAGGCACCTCAACTAGAGAGCCCACGCACCAAAACTAGAGAAGAGAAAACCTGCACGCCATAACTAGAGAGAAGCCAGCACACAACATAAAAAAGATCACACATGGGCTTCCCTGGTGGCGCAGTGGTTGAGAGTCCGCCTGCCGATGCAGGGGACACGGGTTCGTGCCCCGGTCCGGGAGGATCCCACATGCCGCAGAGCGGCTGGGCTCGTGAGCCATGGCCGCTGAGCCTGCGCGCCTGGAGCCTGTGCTCCGCAACGGGAGAGGCCACAACAGTGAGAGGCCCGCGTACCGCAAAA